TATTCCAACGTTTATTTCAACGTTTGGTTACCCAGGGAATGAAATTGAATTCCAAACATTCCCTCATTTAAGGATTTCACTATTTATTCATAAAAGATATGGAATTGAAATCCATTCCATCCAGAATTTTATAAATGACAAAAATACCCCCATGACAATTGGTTTCTCTCATCTTGATAATCCTAGCCGCACCTTTTTCGATTCTCATCGACTGCTTCCAATCTATCAAACCACCAGTTTCTCTCATCTTAAACAACTTGTTTCATCTCCATCATCGATTGATTTACTGCTTACTTCAATTTCCGCATACGATTTTTGTTCTGATTTCTAGTTCGATTTCTGCTCGTCGAAGACAGGTATGGTTTACTGTTTTCAATCTCTACTTACTTTGATTTTTGCTTATTGTTTCCGATTTTTGTTATGATTTCTGTTGCGATTTATACTTCGATTTCTGATTACTGTTTTCGATTTCTGCATATTTTGTTCCGATTTGTACTTACGATTTGTACTTACATTTTTTGCTTCCAATTTCTGCTCATTAAATGTTAATTTATTGTTATTTGTAATTAAAAAAAATATATAAAAGGGGCATTTTTATCATTTTTCATCATTCAATTCTAATTATGTTGCAAACCAAACAAACAAATTCCAATTTATTAAACAGATTACATTTCATTCCTACCAATCAAACACTTGTTCAAGACTGATAACATTCCATTCCATTTCCTTTCATATTTCAATTGCTTTAACATATTTTATTTCTTCTGAAATCATTTTGCAAACCAAACACTGTTCAGTATATTAGACTTAATAATAAAACAACTACACCACGAAAATGTTGTTGAATTGATTTCCTTTTGATGAGAATCTTCCTAAAATGCTTGCGTATTGGAAGTCCAATTTTTGACGCTTGTGAAAGAAGTTAGAAACTTCCATGACCGTTTAAAAGTTGTACACGTATCCATCTTAATAAAACATGTGTGATTTAATCGTGGTTTAACTTTTAATTGTGGTGAGTGTTTAAAATCAACAAATTGTGTAAAAAGTTGCACTTGTATTCCATTCAACGTATGTGTCACGCAGCATTTTATGTTAAAATTCCATTTTAATATATATATATAAATAAAAGCGATCAAATAAAAACCACCCTTATTTGTGAAAACCTTACAAACCACCTTCATACGTCGATTTCATTGTTTAATTTTATGAAAATTTTTCATTAAATTGTTTAATCTTGTGAAATTGTTTCATATAATATTTTTTTTGATGAATTTGTTTCATATATGGTTATGAAATTGTTTCATATAATACTTTTTTTGATGAATTTGTTTCATATATGGTTATGAAATTGTTTCATATAATATTTAATGAAATTTTAATGAAACTGTTTCATGTATTTTTCTAAAATTAAAATAATGAAGATGATAATATCCATGATTAACCCCTTCACAATAAAAATGGTTAATCAACCTCTCATAATTACATAAAAAAAATGAAAAATTATGATTGGTTGAATGAGGTTTTCACGGTTTGTACAAATTGAGTGGTTTTTATTTGAACGCTCCTCTATATATATGTATATAGGCGAAGGGTTGTGTGAGAAGGAAAGTTACGACGAGAAGCGTAAGAAGAGATCAGAAATCCTTGATCACATTTATTTTCATGCCCATGCATGTAATTGCGCTTTAGAACAGAATTGATCTAGTGCATCTTGGTGCACCTCATTGGTGTTGACATTCAATTATGATTGATCCGATGGTGGAGATCTCTTCTTATATTTCTCATCATAACTTTCTTTCTCACTAGAACCAACTCTATGTATGTATATATGTATACATATATATGTAATGTAGGGTTGAGTTTTGGTGAAAATGAAAATTATGGTGAGAAGGATAAGAAGGGATTTCCGTCGTTTGATCAATCCGAATTGAAGATCAATATTAATAAGATGTACCGAGATGCACCAGATCAATTTTCATATCAAGGGTAAGAAGGCTCGTGTGATAATAGAAGTTACGATGAGAAATGTAAGAAGGGATTGAGGCCTTAATCACTTTTAATCTCACTCCCATCCTATGGATCACGCTTATCATATGAGTTGATCCCGGTACATCTCGGTGCACCGCGTTAGTATTGATCTTCAATTATGATTAATCAAGGTGAAAATCTATTTTTACACCTCTCACTATAACTTTCATTCTCACCTAACCCCAACCATATATATATATATATATATATATAGGTTCAAATGAGAATACCTTTACTTTATGAGAATATATTACATGTGATAATGCATGCGAGAAAACTTGGGTGGTGTAGAGACGACATGTCTTATGATCTAGGTCACACCAAATGTTATCCGCATCACTTATTTTAGTATCACATGTGATTATTTTGTAGTATCACGTCAAAAACACATTTATCCTACGTGTTAATACACGTATGGGGGCTTAGTGATGTACGAACAACTTGACCCACAAGGTAATTCGTCATGCATCTTTGATTTAACATCACATGTGTACTATATGTGATGAAATACATTATAACATATGATTCACTATAGTAAAACAATGTTATTGTATTCTTATAAAATGGAAGTGTCATCGTTTAAACCATTCCCTATATATATGTATGTATGTATGTATATATATTTAGGGGCCTAATCAAATGAAAACTAGATAGTTTGTGGTAACTGTGAGGTCAAATATGAGCCAATCATTTTAGATAATTAATGTTATTTACTAAAATAAAACAAATGGTAAATTAGTAAATTGTTTTGATTATTCAATTTACTTTAATTAGTTTAATATTTCAATTTACTTTAATTAGTTTAATTATTTTAATATATGTATATATATATACACACACACACACACGAACACATATGGACCAAATCCGGTGGCCTTCTCTGGCACCCACCATTACTCCGGTGACCTCCTCCGATCATCTTGTCTGACCAAGACGCCGTCTCAGATAATCGACCATTAAACACTCACCTGTGAGCATTTCCGATGGCCAGCCCCATCTCTGTCCATGTGACCCCCTCACTACCCATCTCCCTTCCCCCATCCCCGCCTCAATTGGTACCACAGTTGATATCACAGTAGTCTTAAAGTTTACTTGGTGTGTTTTGTGTATCACATTGTGTATCTTAATATATTTGGGTATCACATGGTGTTCGTCGGATACTTGAGGTAGGAAGAGAGAGAAATGAGAGATAAATTTTTTAAAAGACCTAAAATGCCTTTAATTACAATTTTAATTCAAATTATCAAAAATATTAGTTTCCTAACTTATCTATTGATTTGTGGTTAGGATAGATCTCGCATTTATCATAAACTAATTAGTTTTCTTTTGAATGGACCACTATTATGCAACCTTTTACATTTGTACAAACAATATAACTCAATTTCAATTGTCCGTTTAATTTGACGAATATATGATTTTATAAAAGTTCTGATTATTTCCTAATATAAAGTATTGATCATAATTAGTAAACCCTAATCATCTTTCATAAATATTTAAAATCATAATAAATAAACTCTCATCATTTGCATAAATATTTCAATCAATTGAATTGTATTGATTGTACAAATATAATGAGTTGCATTTAAAACATCTTTGCGCTCTCTCTCTCTCTATAAGAACATGTTATTTAGAATAAAAATAATTAAAACTAGTCAAAATTAAAACACTAACCGATTAAAAAAATGCCAATAAAATAAATTTTTATTAGTTATTTAACAAAATAATGACTTTTTCCTACAATTAATGAACATTTTTTTATTTACACCTGATTTGACCAGTAATCAATATATTTTGTAATTATTAATGTGATGTTAAATTATATTTAAATTCTTTTAATTATCTTTAAAAAAATACTATATTAAAATCAACAATGTCATGTAAATTGAAAACAATTTATAAAATAAAAAAAATAAAAATAATTACACATTTGTTAAAATAATTAAAAAATATAAAATTAAATCAGGAAATTAAACAAAATAATCAATCTTTTCAACCAAATTCATAAACCACTTTTAACAATAAATTCTCATTTTAGCCGTGATTTATGTAAATGCTATAGACATTTATGTAAAACTTAGGGGGTGTTTGAGATTGCTTATAAAAACAATTTATTGACTTATTTCGGTGTCACACTAGTAATAAGCACTTTTGAGTGTTTGGATAAACAACTTATACCGATGCCAAACTGGTAATAAGAAGTTTTTGAAGAAGTTAAACCATTCTAACTTATAATAAGTTGATAAAAACTTTTGTAAAAAATATAAGTTGTTTCAAATAAGCAATCCCAAACAACCTTTTACTTTCAAATTAACTCAAAATTTTGCAGAAATGACGATCTTACCCATGTTTACGTAAGGAATCTTTTCCTGTATTTTTAATTTGAAAATAGGATTTATATAAATACGTGAGACATATACATGAGCTATAATTATGGGAGGAATTTGATTAAAAAGTATGTAGAAAGTGAATTTGATTATTTTTTGTCGATTTGATTAAATTAAGGGGTTGTTTGTTTACTTCTTAATAATTTTATTAAGAGTGATAATATCTAAATCGTTAAAAGATGAATCTTGTTTGATAGAAGAAAATCTGTCTTTTAATGATTTTAAAACCCTCTAAATAATTTTATATCATATATCTCTCTTAATCATTTAACATCCTAATTTCGTCATAAATAATTACCATACAATTATATTCTTTTCTACCATTTAAACCATTCAACAACCGTTCCATGCATCGTAATCATATATCCACGTGTCTTTTTATTATGGCTTCCGAACTTTCCGAATTCCGGTCCAACCGGTGGCCGCCAAAACGTGGCTCCCTTTCTCTGAATATGTTTATGGAATTACTAAATTACCCTTCTCTTGCTAGTAATTTCAGTTAAAACCCTTTGTAAATTAATCATAATTCAGGGGCAATTAGTTTTCCAGAAAGTATATATATTTTCAGGTTACTTTCAGAGCCCGCGCAACGAGTCGTCTTCGAAGGCGCAGACGTTTGTCAGTCTTCCTTACCTTTTTGAATAATTGAATCCCTGTGTTGTCGATCGCTCATCATTCAAAACCCTAAACTAGCGTGAAATTGAAGCAATTGAAGCACGATTGCGAAGGAATTCATGGAGAATTCACGGCAGTCTCTGATCCCGAGCTTTCTGTACTCTTCGTTTAAGAATGGATTCGGTTTTGAGCATTTGACGGAGAATCAACGGAGTTTGTCTGATTCTTCGCCGTCTTCTGTTTCAGCGTCATCTCCTGTTGCGAGAAGCGGTTTCGTGGTACCGGCGCCCAGCGAGCCAGGTAGGATTAAGATGTTCTCGCCGGCTTATTATGCGGCATGTACTGCTGGTGGTACTTTGGCCTGCGGGATCACACACATGGCGGTCACTCCATTAGATGTTGTGAAATGTAATATGCAGGTCAATCTCTTACTGACTAGATCTCTTGCTGATTTATATGTCTAGTTTTAAGAATTTGAATAACATCTCTTTTGATTTCAATCGGTAATCGAACTTACCTATATCAGAATTCTAATTTATTCATTCATACGAGGATAGATCTTAAGATATAATAGGCCGTATGTGTTCAACTTTGCCATTTACTTGTGAATGTGTTTAGATGTTTAGCTTTTATTTTACTGTGGTTACACGTTTAGGAAAATATCCAGAGTTGTACAAGTTATGCGTTAGGAATGTTTAAAATGAAGCCGAGTTATAGATGTAGCTACTTGTTAGCCTTGGTTAAATAAGACGTTTAAGTGTATTTGAACGTACGAGACTTAAGATGTCAAATGTTTAGCGCGATCTACAACTTACTGTTCTTCTGCATGTCCTAATGTTTATCATACGACTTACGAGATAACTATCATACTTACGTGCTATATATGCAAGAATGTTAAAATCATAAGGGACTTCTAATTCGAAAGAATTAGCAAAGGGGGTGAAAATCTCTAATTATGCTGTCCTGTGTCTACAGTCTGACTATTTTACGTGTATGTATGCTCGATTCTTCAGATTGACCCTGCAAAGTACAAGAGTATTTCTTCTGGCTTCGGTGTATTGCTCAAGGAGCAGGGAGTGAGAGGATTTTACAAGGGTTGGGCACCAACCTTTCTTGGTTACAGTTTACAGGGTGCTGGCAAGTATGGGTTTTACGAGTTCTTTAAGAAAACCTACTCTGACATTGCTGGTCCTGAGTATGCAACCAAGTATAAAACGTTGATTTACCTTGCTGGTTCTGCATCGGCCGAAGTTATTGCTGACGTCGCCCTTTGCCCGTTTGAGGCAGTTAAGGTCCGTGTTCAAACTCAGCCTGGATTTGCAAGGGGTTTGTCAGACGGCTTACCTAAGATTGTCAAGGCTGAAGGTGTTGCAGGGTATGACCACAATATCAACTAATTTGAAAATTTTACAAAGCAATTTTGTTCCTACATATCCGAAGAGGATTGATTTTTTCAATTTTCGTATACTCTTGTACAGGCTATTCAAGGGCTTAGGTCCTCTGTGGGGACGACAGATTCCTTGTGAGTTCATATTTCATTGAATTTAAATAATTAACTTGTTTAGTAGTTTGAGGTTTAAATAAGAAGGCTAACTATCATGCGAACTTAAGAAAGAAAGGTTCATATCTGAATTATCGAAGAAATCCATTTGAAGATGCATATGTGAGCCCATATGAATAATCTGTAATGTTGGTTTACATATGCATATTCAAATTTTTGGGACAATGATTCACATATGAACCTTGCCTTAACCTTTCCTTCTTTCCTCATCACAATATTTTGCCTTCTTATTTGAACCAGCCCCCTCTTTAGTATGCATTAAGAACTGTAGTTAAAAAATTATTTGCTTCATATAGCTTCAAACTTTATTGTATTTGACATTCAAATTTTCTAATTGCATTACATGCTTTACCTGATTGCATTGTCTGCTTGACACCTTTGAAGCACGTACACCATTGAATCCCAGTTATATGTTCTATTACTTTTGTTATTGCATGCTTGCACACACCTTTGCAATGTGCACAAGCCGGGGTCTTCACGAAAACAACCTCTCGGTTCTAATGGTTGAGGCAAGGCCTGCGTACATCATACACCCTAATTTCGAATAGGATATTGTAAAAACTTGCTCAAATCAATCTTGCCATATATTAATTTCCAACATGGATATATTTGGTCTGTTTGGTTTGGTTTTTTGGTGATGCTAGACGTATCTATGTTAATTCTTTATTACTCGAGTGGCACTTTTAGTTTTAAAGGAATACTTTGCTTTTCAGATACAATGATGAAGTTTGCATCTTTTGAGACAATCGTTGAGATGATGTACAAGTATGCCATCCCCACTCCAAAGGATCAATGTAGCAAAAGTACTCAGCTTGGAGTGAGCTTTGCTGGTGGTTATGTGGCTGGTATCTTCTGTGCCGTCGTTTCTCATCCAGCTGATAATTTGGTCTCTTTCCTCAACAATGCCCAGGGTGCTACTGTTGGAGATGTGAGTATTATTCATATCATTTCTTTTTGTGAGAATATGTGGAATTCCCAGAAGAGCCCTTGAGAGAGGTTTGATCATATACAGAGGAGAAATGGTCCAAGTCTAACCGATGTGAGACTCTAACATGCCCTCTCCAAAGGAGGCTAGACACAGGGACAGACCCAAATTTTTTTTTTCAAATGGTGGCACCATTTGACTATAAGAAAAAATATAGGGAAATTTTTTCAAAAGGTGGCACCGTTTGACTATAAAAACAAATATACAAAATCTTTTTTAAATGGTGACACCATTTGACTAAGAAAATGACACTAACAGTATTCGAACTTGGGTCTGGAATAAAAGCCTTGCAAACCAACCACTACACTAGGTCCGTCCCTGGCTAGACAGAATTGTTCCAGAGTGTCGAGAGGGGGCAAGACGGGAGTATAGATTTTCTCCTGTAGCGTCAAGTCCTAGACCTTGGCTTTGATATCATGTGAGAATATGTGGAAACCCAAAATTAATCTCCAAAAGAGCTTTTGAGGATAGAAAAGAGGTTCTGGTATATATAGAGGAGAATTGTTCGAGTCTAGCCAACATGGGACTCTTAACACATTTCATTCTCGTTTTTCCATCTTTAATTTCTTGAAAGAACTGGCTGCAACATCATGCACCTCTATTATCTTTGCTTGTATATTTACATGATCTGCAAAACCTGTGCTGCAGGCTGTCAAGAAGCTCGGCGTGTGGGGCCTCTTCACTCGTGGTCTTCCTCTTCGTATTGTTATGATTGGAACTCTTACCGGAGTTCAATGGGGTATCTATGATTCTTTCAAAGTTTACGTTGGCCTGTAAGTTCTTTCATCCTTCATACTTCTGCTAACAGAAAACACATTCTAGGATATCCGAAAACCCTTTGGTTTGCGGAACAAGAAAAGACATAATAGGACAAAATACTGGTCCCACATTTGGTGTGAAATTAAGAAAGGGGACTAGATAGAACCGAGTGGACAATTTTTTTTCTTCTGTACCACCAAAATTGGTGTAAATCAGCCAGATAAGACAAGATTGGTAAATTGCTAAACAAGACATGTAAAATTAAAACCCAAAGACCTTGCACAATTCTTTTCATGGTTTGTGTTTAGCCAATTTGGAATCAAAAAACAGTGTTGAGCCCCTAGATATGGTAGACCTTGGCTCTTATACCATTTTAAGATATATGAAACCCCTCACATACCCTACTTTTAAGTAGGATATACTGGGTTTGTTCGGTTTATAGTTTTGATGCCCATGTGATGTCGAGTCCTAAATGTGGTGTATTCTGGCTGTTATATCATATGCTAAGATATATGTGATGGGAAAAACGTGTCACAACAGTAACAACAATGCAGAATAAACCGTCGTCGGATAGAACTTTCCCAACTTAGATGAACATGTGAGGATGCAAACACATAGGTATATTAAATGCAATAATAATCAGCCCCCAAATCAGAAATAAGCAACAAAGATAACACACACGTAATCCACGGATTTTAGCGTGGAAACCTCTTAAGGTGAGAGTAAAATCACGGGATCCGCCGCTTAAAGTCCACTACCACCAATAAACAATACAAAAGTCTTCTCTAGATAAACCTAGAGGCAAACAACAATCATCATACTCTTGGAACAAATCATCAAGAAGTATGGAACCAAACCAAAAGGACCCAGAAAAAAAAATGCTATATGTCGAACGGAAAAAAGGATGATTTCCTGACCTCAAAAACCGATCTCTACCATTCAGAATGTAGATAATAAAATCATGACGATCCGACGTTCTAACTCTGGGAGTAGACGAAACGGCACGGCTGCACTTGCCCGAAAAGTGCAGTCGAACTTTTCTCGCTTTTATATTTTGTGAACTTTTTCTTCTCATACAGAAACCCTATGATACAAGACTATATATAGCTTATATCGGGCTACTATTGTTGGGCCATTTATCTATTCTTTATAGGCTAGAAATAAATAAATATAACCCAACAATATAAACCCCATCACATACCCTACTTTTGAGTGGGATTTACCAGCTTCATTTAATTTACCAGTTTGATGTATGAAACCGCTTTGAATCCTCTTAAAAGAGCCCCTTATACAAATACAAGAGGTTTCTGCATATATACAAGTTTAATGTCTCGTGTCTAGCTGATGTGAAACTTTGACATTCTAAACTGTCTTTGATTGTGTATTTGAAGAAAATCCAAACTCTCGTTTCTAATCTTTGTTTTCTCTTCCTTGTAGGCCGACCACCGGTGGTGCTCCTCCTCCCGCTGCTACAGAGTAAACCACTCAACTCGACAAAATTAAGCCATTTTGTATCTCAAAGAACGATCTACATCCGACGTATAAACAATATTAGGATCTGGTATGCTTACTACTTTAGCTTAAACACGTTATCGTCTTATATTCGATTCATTCTCCATTGTCTAGTGTTTTTTAGTCCATCCCATTATTAGACACCACCATAGATTACAATATAAGCACCATTTATGCGTGCAATAAGTATTGATACACATCGTGTAAAGTGACATTCTTTTTCTGATGATTTAAAGCGGATTCATCTTTAAATTCATGGATCAAACGTCTTCCCATTTATTTTATCCTTTTTTGAAAATTTCGAGTAGAATATCTTAAGTTTGTTTGGTTTGGTTTATCTGTCATTGAAAATAAGGATAGTTTACCAAATGCTTATCGGGTGGCGCTTACTTTACTGGTTGAACATGACAAAAAACGAGAATCTTACGCGGTAAGAAGCATAACAAGTATCAAGAATCTTACCCGGTAAGTGAGTCATAAGACAAATGATGTTTACCAACAATCAATTTTGATGGCCGAAAATGTTATCAACCAAGTAAGCGAAGGTGATAATTATTACCGGTAAGTGTTTGATAAACGAGCCGTAAGAATGATCTCTAATAGATAAAACTAAAAGTTAAATATCTAAAAACCCTAAACGTTTTCTTCCTTTGGGCTCTATGAGGCTGATCTGTTCAACTAATCAAGTTTTCTTTTGGGCCTGCGGGTCTTTCAGAAACTACCCGCTTTCTTCATCTATCTTATTTTTAAGCTCCATTTCCTATTTTCTTTACAGTTAACTATATTTTTATACCCAAAAAGGTTGGGTTCATGTGAGACCAGTCTGTTTTCGTAAAACCCATAAGACCATTCTTTTACATTTGAAACTTCACACATAACGCTGTGAAGGTACACAACAAAAATACTGTGAAGCGTTTTGCTGTGAAGTTTCAAGTGTAAAAAAAATGGTCTCACGTGATCCAAACTCAATATTTAAATAAACTACGACAAAATGAAATGATGTTTGCTTTACTTATTATATAGAGCAACAATAAACTTTTTTTCCTTAATTTGAAACACAAATTTAAGTAGTTCTATTTCGTACTTGCTTTAATCGGTAATTTTGTAACTACTGATGGCCTACATGACAAGTTATCAAGTTATATGTAATTCTTAATTATGTGGTTTGTGGAATAAAGCTCACGTTGGCTAAAACTTGTTTATCAGCTAAAACATGTACAAAGATATTCGAAATCTAAAGAAAAACACAAGTATGCGAGAACTAACGACTAAAACAACTTCATATGGTTATCTTGGAAACAAGCGAGAAGCGTTAGGGTTATTAAGAAAATAAACCCTTTTAGTGAAAACAAGTGAAGATACTTTTATACTGTGTGAATGTTGTCTTAAGAAACTATGAATATACTGTTATATCATATTACTGTTATAAAATTCACATAATTTAATGTAACATTTACAACTCATAGTTAAAGTGTGAAGTAATGGTTGTGATCTTCACAAAATATAAGATAACTTTCGCATAGTATACATAATTATTAAACGCACATCAGATTGTGTATGACCGTGGTCTTTGGATCCCAACAACAAAAATAATACTGTTATTAATCTGGTGTCAAAAAGACTCGGGTTCACACATTAGTTTCTAAAATTTAATGCTCTTCAACTTGCAAAGAACCTCAAAGACCAGTTCTTACATTTTTATGGTCATGGAAGTTCACCTACGATAGCTTGAGGGTAGGGGTGTCCAAAACTTGAATGATCCGAAACCGAAACCCGTAAAGGAATAAGATGATTCTGCAAAACTAGAATGTCTCGAAATCCGAAAACCCGAAACCTAATTTTTTGGGATATTTGAATTGGGACTGGGTTTTATTTTTGGCCAACCAACCCGTTTGAAAACCCAAAATATATACTATATAATAACTTTTAAATATTTATTTATCTAGTTATATTTTGAAAAATCCTGTGTTTTTTCCTAATTTTTTAACCTACTATTAATTTCATCAATTCTTTCAATCTATTGAATTCATTCTTAAAAATCGACTCAATGCATATGTGTGTGCACACATATAACTATACCCGAACCCACCAATCCCAACTAGAAACCGACAAACCCAAACCCGAAATAATTCAAAATCGAAAACCCAAGATTCGGAGCTTGGTTTCATTATTTGAAATCCGATCGGATTTTTGGTTTACCCATCCGAACCCGCCAAATAAACACCGCTACCTGAAGGATTAATCTGTACACATAAGCTGACGTCTCACTACATGTTTAAGAAAATGTGAGATAAGAAAACCCTCATCTCACATTTTCTTTCCCTTTCATCTTTTTTTTTTAATAAACAAAATGTACTTTTTTTCATGAATCAAACATTGTGTTTTTTTACCATACACATTTTTAGTATGAAAAGAAGTACAAGAAGGTTAAATGTACCATTCAACACCATCAATTAGGGGGTGTTCATGAGTTGGATTGATTGGTTTGAAGACATTTGAACAACCCAACTTAATTCTTGTAGTTTGAAAAATCTTAACCCAACCCAAACCATACAGTTGGTTTGGTTGATATTTTGGTACATTAAAATATTCTCTTAACCTTGAATATGTTATATTTATACTCATAATTTTTCTTTTATCATCAACCATTTGATACAACTTATTCATGTTTGTTAAATCTTACATATATCACATTCAATTAATTTTTCTCAATTTGCATATATATGTTCACAGTTACTAAACATATATACGAGTGAGTTACATAGATATGGAGAATTTATTGAAAATATGTGTATATAAAGAGAATACATGATAGTGTAGTCATCAAATATACATATTAATAGCAACTCAACAATCACATTAAGTGGCTGTTTGGAAGTTGCTGAATGATTTGGTGCAAAATGATTAAGTGGTCAGAATGATTAGAGGCCTTCATGATATAGTGCAAAATGAAATATAATTGTTTGGTAATTGTTTACAATAAACTTAGGGCGCTTAATGGTCAAGGGAGGTCCATGATACAAAATCATTCAGAGGGTTATTGACTTTTTTTTTTGCCAAACAAGATTCACCTTTTAATGATTCAGAGACTGCCTTTTAATGAAACTATTAAGAGGTAAACAAACAATCCCTAAATTCAAGAAATAAAAGAATATCGGGTCAATCGGATTGAGTTAAGTTCAAATAATTGTAACTCAATATCAACCCAATACCTACGGTCTAAAATTTTTACAACTCGATTAGACATCAGGTTACTTCGAATTGAGTTATTTCATGCTGGGTTGAGTTGGATTGATCAGATTGGTCGGGTTTTTGAGCACCCCTACCAGCGATACTCCGAACCTTTAGAAGGAGGAAGAAAAACGTGAGTGAATTTGATATCTAAAGAGGTGTTGCCAGCTATTAATACAACCAATCATATATCAATAAACAAATATGATATCTTGGTATCATTTTATTTGGTTCACGTTTTATTTGTTTTATATATCACCATTTTTGGTAAATTATATTAAAAAATAGAATTGAATTTATTTTAATAATATTTTACAGAAATCCAGTAGGAGACAGTATTGAATGGTCAGCAGGTTCGAATATCAAAGTTTTAAATGACGTGGGACGTGACGTGACGACAAAGTGAAGATTCAAATCTTACGAGTTATGGCGAGGTTGTGACTTTTTTCAAGACCTGCCTTAGGACAACATATATATATATATATATATATATATATATATATATATAAGGTTGGGTTCACGTGAGATCAAGAGTTTTTCGTGAGACCCGTGAGACCAATTTATATTCATTGATCAATTTTATAAGCTAACGATCTAATGGTCCAAAATTGCACAGTGACAATTTTGTAATTATTGAGAAATCTTGTGGCAATTTTATGATTATGAATATTGAGATTGTAGATCTAATCCAAGGGTTAAAAATTAGTCTTACGGGTCTCACGAAAAAGCTTTGGTCTCATATGATCCCAAGTCTATATAGGGTTGGGTTCACGTGAGACCAATGGTTTTTCGTGAGACCCGTAAGACCAATTTACGTTCATTGATCAGCTTTATAAGCTAATTATCTAATGGTCTAAAATTGCACGGTGTCAATTTTGTGATTATTGAGAAGTCTCATGACGTTTGTGAATGTTAAGATCTAACGATTGTAGATCTAATCCAATGGTTGGGAATTGGTCTTACGGGTCTCATGAAAAAGTCTTTGTCTCATATGATCCCAAGTCTATATATATATATATATATATATATATATATTATATAATATATATATATTATGTGTATACTTGTGTGTTTGTGTCTTGAATAGTCCCCTGGAACTATTTAAATTCATATGAAGTTATAAAACTAAAATTATATCAAATGTATCGAACTTATAAGAATAAGATATCAAGAATGGAGGATCAAGATTAAGGGACCATTTACCAAACAGTTACTCGGTAAGCGTTTACGGGTAAAATTCAACACTATCATTTATTTACCGGGTAAAATTTTAGTCAACAAGAACGACATTGTATGTAACAATTTACTCGGTAAGCATTAACTGTGGTAAGTCTTGTCGCCCTCACTTATCGGGTTTACTAGGTAAGATTTTTGGTTCTTACCATATTTATCAGGTAAGATAATGTGACTTGGTAAGTGCTTACCCGAGTAAGCATTTGGTAAACAGCTCATAACGGGCCATAACACGTTACAACGAAAACCAAGCTCTTGTGTGGAGCCACATGGTTTAACACGACAGTTAAACCAAGCCTCTACGCCATATAACGCGCCATAACAAGGTTCAAGTCTGAATCATGCAGGAAACGAACTTGAATACACAACATACTAGTTCAAATACACAAAGGGTCTCCAGGGGTGCACGAGACAAGCTTGAACCCCTTCGCTAGGCTCAGCCGAGTCAGCTCTAAAATGCCTACTCACATGTGGTTCCTACTTCCTACAGTGCAAGTTCCGTACGAGCTAGGTCAGGGCTATCGGTAAATCAGTAATCACCCTTTTGCTTAAATATTTTGGACTCAGTTCTTAAAACTTCTCGTTTAAATTCATGACACCCTTTTGCTAGCCCATTTTTTTTTCTTTAATAGGTCAGGAGGTCATGAATTTAATTAAAAACTCATTTAAGGTCATTGTATCTCAAAGTCACACGTCTCATCCTTATCCAACCAATGAAATAAAGACAAATCATATTTTATATATCTTAATTTTACTTCCATAGAGGAGATTTTGG